GTTGGGTTACTTGAATTGGAATAAATCATCAAATGTTTTAAAGCCTACCTGCGGGTAGCAAAACTTCCTTTAAAAGGCAAGCATGAAATGTTTTGTTCCAATTCAGGTGATCCAGTCTATACTTGTATGTTGTGCGCATCACATAGTAATCTAGGCTAATAACTGGAATAAGAACACATAATGCTTTCAAAACAAGATATCATGGTTAGTAGTGGCTGATCTTTGATCGGGCGAGCGGGGGTGCTCATGAAGTGACCTTTCCCAATCGTACCCAAGTTCCCGAGCCGAGGCAACTTTGGTGATGACGGACGCGTGGCCTTTTGGCACCGAGTCAGGGTTTCCTAAATTCCCCCATTTTAAAATATTTAGGTGGCGACTCTGTATCTGGCAAAGCAGTCCATGTTTGGCACTTCTTTCAAAAATTTGTTTTCTCAAAACGATTTGCCGGATTTGGACTCTTTGGTTCAGACTTAGAACCGTGACTACAAATCGAGTCCGAGCTGTAGCGAGGTCCCCCGCGGGCTTGTTACAGTTTCTGGCGACTCTGCTGGGGATTTAGAGAACTTGACTCGAACTCGTGATATCTGTTTTTTACTACACTTGTGTGTTTCTTTGCATTGCATTTGCATTGGTGCGCTTAGGACACCGTGTTTGCCATCTGCTATTCCTGAACGGTTTGCCGGAGGCTTGTCTTGTCAAGGCATGACCATAAGGCTGACCGGTTGTGGGCTCTGCCAGTATGGGAACACAAACCCCGGTTTTACCGGGGCACCCTTTTTGACCATTCGACCTAGTGCATGTTCTGATCCATAGTGACCATTCCAAACTAGGACAGGTTGCTTACCCGTATATAAGTTGTTTGAAACCGCTGCGTGCATAGTGAAACCCTAGCTCCTGACAAAATAGGACAGGGAAACCCTACCCCTCCATAGGGGTGTTTTAGCTCTCAATTATCTGTTATGTGCTTTTAGAGTGCGTCTCTACAGGAATGCATGTATCAGTTTGCAAGTTTGGGCATCAGGCCTGCGGGCACCAGTTTAGTAGTTTGGGCATCAGGCCTGCGGGCATCAGTATCTGGGAATCAGTTTTCGAGGGTATCAGATTTGAGGCAGAATTTTAGAGGCAAAATTCAGTAAAGAGCACACTCATTCAACTAGGCTCATATCTGTTCAAGTGAAATCAGGCTGAGATGTTGCATGTTTTCCCTTTTGCTAGGTAGTCTTGGAACCATAGCTTCAGAAGGCTTCGATATCCCCCAGGTACATTGGATCCGTGCTGATAGACTTTGTCAGGTCGGAAATTCAGTTCAAGGGCAAATCAGTGTTCCTTCGCTGAGGTAAGACAAAGGAGGGCCAGATAGGGTTCATTTTGTTCATCTGATCCGACAGTCACCAGTCACATCATCAGCAGACTCGCGATGACGCAAAATTCGGAAGAAATTATGGTTATGGCAGCCGCATCAGACCAAGGAATCACATTGCGGGGTGATACCGATGTTGGAGTGCCACACCCACCCAGGTCACTTGCAGCACATCCGATCTGGGAACCCCAGTTATTTCAAACCCGTGAACCCACTACTTCTGAGCTAGATATGGTGGATGGCATGCACTGTTTTGAGCATTTGCAAATGCTAGCTTTTGTGCTTTCTGACTTAGGTATTGGGTCAGTCTTATTGTTTTGTTTTTGAGTCTGTCTTTTGTTTTGAGTCAGTCTCTTTTGTTTCGGGTCTGTCTTGTTATATCGAGTCAGTCCTGTTGTATAGGAGTCGGGTGATCCCGGGGGCGTTACCTCGGATATTACTATTTTGTTTTGTGTCTGTCTTTTTGCTTTCTTTTGAGTCTGTTTCTGCCGGGGAGCCAGTAACACCCAAGGTGTAGCAGTACACCTAGTCTATGTCGTGTACTTGGAGAATCATGGAGAGATGCTGCCGAAATTTCGTTAGAGATGGATAGAGCGGTATGAGCTACTTTTTACAATATAGACTGTGCATTCCTGAATGGGAAAGTAGGATGAACCAACCTATTATAGAAGAGTTAGCGGTGAATGGTGTCATGTTGCATGCATTGTAATGTACTTAATTGAGGTTAAGAATAATTAAAATGAAATGATAATTTTGAACCTTGTTGATTTGGCAGTGACATTTGTAGTGTAAGACGAAGTCAGATGGATAAAAGTTGGATAAATCAGCATAGGTTGCATCCAGAATATATAGAAGGGGTTAAGGAATTTGTTAAACTTGCATGCCAAAATAATCCTCTATCAAATGAAGTCACATGTCCATGTAAACGGTGTCGGAATGTCAAACTAGTAAAGAAAGACCTTTTGGGGGAACATTTAATGGTCAATGGGTTTCTTCCAAGCTACACCAGATGGATTTTTCACGGGGAAGATTTATCGGCGTCTGTGCCATTGAATGAGAATGTCAGTGATTCGAATGATGGCGATAAAGTCAATGAAATGATATATGAGGGGTTCGGACTTCCTCCACCAAGCTTGGTTCATCGTGCTAGTAACGAGACAGGAAGTTCTAATATCGAACTAGGCCTGGATAAGAAAACTGAAAGAATTTTCAGTTTATTGAAGGAGGCCGAAAGAGAGTTGTATCCAGAGTGTCACAAGTTTTCAACGCTGTCATTTGTTGTTCGATTATTGCATATCAAGTGCCTTAGTGGATGGAGCGACAAGTCTTTCACGATGTTGCTCAAACTTTTGAAGGATGCATTCTCAAAAGGTGAAACTTTTCCAAAGTCGTTCTATGCAACGAGGGCACTCCTTAGGGAATTGGGCCTTGATTATCACAAGGTACATGCATGCCCAAGAGACTGCTCACTGTATTGGAAGGAGACAGCTAGTAGGGATGATTGCATAGTGTGTCAGACGCCTAGATACAAACAGTTTGAGGGTGAGAAGAATGATTACAAGGCAATGAATGTCTCTCATAGCAGTTGGCCAGTTATTATAATGCCATACAATTTGCCACCATGGTTGTGCATGAAGTAGCCTCATATGATGATGACATTGCTCATCGATGGTCCTTCTTCACCTGGAAATAACATTGACGTCTACTTACACCTTGTAGTGGATGAATTGAAAGAATTGTGGGAAAACGGTGTTGACACGGATGATGTGGAAACTAATCAGATGTTCCGAATGCATGCAGTGTTATTATGGACTATAAATGATTTTCCTGCCTATGCAATTTTGTCTGGATGGAGCACGAAAGGCACTTTAGCTTGTCCTTGTTGTAACACACATACTCAATCTCGATATTTGAAGAACGGAAGGAAATTATGTTACATGGGGCACCGTCGCTGGTTGAACAGGGGTCACAATTTTCGGAAAGCTAGTGTGTCTTTTGATGGCACTCGTGAATTTGAACCATGTCCAACTCGGTTATCAGGGGCTAATGTGCTATAACAACTAGGCCCTAAGTTCAAATTGAATTCTAAGCGTCAACAATCTAGCAAACGGAATAGAAAGGGGAAAGAAAAGGAGGAAAATGAGGACTCGGGTCATAATTGAAAGAAGAAAAGTATTTTCTTTGAGCTGTCATATTAGGAGCATAATTTGATTCGCCACAATCTTGATGTGATGCACATTGAAAAGAACGTGTGTGATAATGTATTGTAGACGGTATTAAATGTTGATGGGAAAGGGAAGGACAATTTAAATACTCATCGAGATTTGCAAGATATGAGAATTCGGAAGGCACTACATCCTCAGAAAAGGGTTGGGAACAAGTATTATTTGCCTCCTGCATGTTTTGCCATGAACAATAGAGAGAAAAGTTTATTCTGCACACTTCTAAAGAATATCAAAGTTCTAGATGGTTATGCATCCAATATCTCTCGTTGGGTTAACCTCAAACAGCGTAGCATATCTGGACTGAAAAGTCATGATAACCATATACTCATGTAACAAATACTTCCAATAGCAGTGAGAAATTTGTTACCGAAGAAAGTGGTTAAACCATTAATTGAGTTAAGCAATTTCTTCAGGAAGTTGTGCTTCAAAACCCTAGATGTGGATGGTCTAAATTGTCTTCAGTCCCAAATTGCTCTTACACTTTGCCATCTTGAGAGAATTGTTCCCCCATCATTTTTCGATATAATGGAGCACTTACCCATTCTCCTAGCAGAGGAAGCAAAGATTGCTGGTCCGGTGCAATATCGATGGATGTACTTTGTAGAAAGGTGTGTAATTCTACTCCAATGTCCATTTTGTATATATTTGCTTGTTAATACTTTGTAAATTCTACTCCAAAGTCATGTATGCACGTCCAAGTCTTGAGGACGGTCAAAAATGGGGTGTCTACACAACTCTACTCCAATTTACATTTGTATTCATTTGTTTGTTTATAATTGAAAGTCATGTGCATTTGTTTGTTTATAGGTATTTTATGGCACTGAAGTCATATATGCGTAATCGAAGTCATCCAGAAGGTTCAATTGCAAAGGGATACTTAATGGAAGAGTGTATGAGCTTTTGCTCAAGGTACTTGGATGATGTTGAGTCAAAATTGAATTGACCAATAAGGAATTACGATGTTAGCGACAATCCTGGGATATTACTGGGTCATGCTTTAGGAAAAGGAAAAGGGTTTGCCCTTGATAACACATCATGGGAACAAGCTCATCAGTATGTGTTATTTAACACCGTTACGGTTGTCCCATATCGAGAATAAGATGCACATCTTTGTTCCAAAATTTTATTGATACCATTAATAAGTATCTTGCATTTTGTAAGTACTTTAAATGTATAGGGAGTATCGTGATTTTATTAAGCAGTCACATCGTCGTCTCAAAGATTTTGATGTGGATTGTCGTCACAATGATGAGTTTCCCAGATGGTTTAATTCTCGTGTAAGTACTAATAACTTACATGTTTCTAATTTTCAATTCTCATGTAAGTACTAATAACTTACATGTTTCTCTGTTAGTTGATGTTTAATTTTGTTAACTTTTTAAAAATAGGTTGAAGAGTTTCTAGCTACTGAAAACGCTGTGCTGTCAGATGAGATTAAAACTTTGGCATTGGGACCTAGTAACAAGGCCACGAGATTTAGTGGGTATATAATTAATGGTACTAGGTATCATACGAGGAGTTGTGAGTGGAAAAGAAAAACTCAAAATAGTAGGGTTATGGTGAAAGCAAAGACTTGTAGCTATGCAAGTACCAGAGACATGAATCCTGTGGAAGGTGAAGTAGCATACTATGGATATGTGACAGATATTATTGAATTGTATTACTCATACGACCGTAGATATTTGTTATTCATGTGCGACTGGATTGACAACAACAAAGGACTAAAGCAGGTTGGATTTGGTTTCACACTTGTTAATTTCAATCATTTGTTGTATACAAAGAAACAAAATAGTGATGAGCCATTCATCCTAGCATCTCAGGCATGACAAGTTTTTAATGTTAATGATCCTGTTGGAGCTAATTGGGATGTTGTAGTCAAGATGAAACCTAGAGACTTGTATGAGGTGTGTGGAGAACAACCAATTAATGATGGAGTATATCACAGTGAAGTGGAAGGATTTGGCGACCAAGAGTTAGATGCAACTTCGTTTGCTTGTGAAGAGGACATAAATTGGGTTAGGCAAGGTGAATTTGGAACAACTATTGATGAAGTTGTTGGACCTCTTGAGATATCGACACAGACACAATCTGAAGATGATGAAGAAATTTTATGATATTGTAATTTTGTGTCATATTCATTGTTACATTTGTGCTTTCAATATGGATATTCATGTTAATGAAACCTTTGCTTTTATAATGCATCATTTGTTTGTTTTGTTAATAACATCTTTGTTTTTGTATTCACTATCGTATCTATTGTACTTTATATTCATTGCTAACGCATAAAATTATACATGTATGCTTGTGGTCTTCTATAAACTAGCATGACAGATCGACGATGCTCTAGGTAGAGGCAACATTCAGCCTCTGTAAATTCTGAGAGTTCTTATAGTGGGAGTGCAGATGAGAGTTCTTATAGTGGGAGTTCAAAGGAGAGTACACGCATCATACCTGATCCACCCATGTCATGGTATCCTCAGGTAGCTTGCCTAGTATATCCTCGAGCACTGGTTTAACACTTGACATTACAGCTGGTATGAATTATTTTATTCAATTGCATTAATTCCATTAGATTTCTCTGTTTATGTTCTTTAATTCAATTGTTCTTTTGACTAATTTTGATGCTAATTGGTGGTTTTCAGTACCATTTTGCTTAAAATGAAGATTTCTTTTGACCAATTTTGATGTTAATAGTGTTTCGATGTTGAACTAATGATAAGAAAATAAAATAAAATAAAATAATGTGTTCAACCCTTTGTTGGGGATACAATGATAGAAAAAAAAATTGGTAGAGTTACTGAGGTCGTGGTATGTAGCTTGGTTGTTTCTCTCTCTCTCTCTCTCTCTCGCTCTCTCTCTCTCTTCGATGCATGTTGTTCTTATCATTTTTGTTGATTTGGTGATTCTTTTCAATCATCTGGGTAAGCTGGCTAAGTTGCGTAGATATGGTGTTGATTAAGACTATTTAATCCAGAAAATATGGTGTTGATTAAGACTGCTGAGTGGTGGATTAGAAATTGCTTGAACTTTTTTGCTTTTGACGACTGAATAAATTAATAAATTTGATGTGGTATGCCAATAGTGACAATTCTTCACTTTCTGTCATTTTAGGGTTTTTGCTTCTTTCTTTCCTGCATATTTGTAGTTCTTTAATGATTTTTGAACTTCAATCCTAGCATTTTCCTGAAACTTAGACCTTTTTTGGTTGTAATTTTTTGGTCAATCTGCTATTGTAGTTCATGCATGATTGTTATTCAGGTATTTTTACTATGCCTGTGGTTTGTAGGCTGTAGTTGTAGTTTCTAGAAATGCTAGTACCATAGGTTTTGTTAGAAAATAATGATTGTAGAAAGTCAAAATATTTATTCTTATTTTACAATTGAAGTATTTTCACCTAAAGAGAAGAAAAATAAAACATGACCATAATGAATCTAGAGCTTGGCATAATTGAATACATATATTTTCATCTAAAGAGAAGAAAAAGAAAAGCACTTTTGCAATGAGAATTGCCGCATCACAATCCAACTAGGTCTTCAATATACCTCATCTGGAGTCAGTTGGTATCATATTCCTATGTTATTGGTTTAAGCTACATCTGCGTAACATTGGTTGTACAAAATGGTAGATATGGTCTTGGGGTATTTCTTTTCATTCATTTGGTTTAAGCTGCGTCTGGGTAAGCTCTGTTTGTTGCTGGTGCTTTAGTTGTGGCTACAGCTGTGATTGTTTTGTTTTCATCACACTTGGACACACATTTGGATAGAAACCCTTGATACTTTTATCAATTCTATTACTATAAATTTTATTGGTGACTAATTAATTAATTAACAATTACAAACACAAATGAAGGAGGTTAGGGAGCAATCCAATGCTACACATGAAGAGATTATCACACAAGTTCTAGGGCCTGAGAGGCCTGGTCGAGTTTGAACATATGGATTGGGTCCTTCTTCGACAGATGTCTTTGGAGGTGGATATAGGAAATCACCAGAACAAACTCGTCTCATCCAAACGCAATTCCAAGAGCAACTTAATCAATATAAAGCACAAATGGAGATGCAGATGAAGGAGATGATGGATGCTATGCTTAATCAACAGAAAATACAAATGGATATGCAAAGCACAATCCAAGCTCAGCAAGCATGAATAGAGCAATTGGAGTCTCAACAGGCCATAGGTGGGCCTATTGCACCAGCTTCTACACATGTGCATTCACAACAACAATCCCATGCATATACCTCATCGTTTAATTGTCATCGTTCGTCTGAGGAAGTGAGTAAATAGTTAATTATGAAATTTTCAATATGACATTTTATTCATGTTATTTGTTCTTATCAAATGCAGGTTCACATATCAAAGAAAGGAAAGAAGAAGTAGACAGGACAAATACCGGTTAGAACTGTCATTTTTTTATTTGATACTACATCATTTATCTCTACTGGTTGTTATCTAAATGTTGAAATTATTTTTATACTTGAAACACTCACAATACATTGCGATTTATGCATGTAGGTTCAAAAGAGGCTCTTAGAATTCATACTTGCTGCATTCTATCGATCTCCATATTTTGTTGCACTTCTGAAGGTATTCTCCTGACCAAAAGTGGTAAGTCAATTATGGTAAGTCAATTCTCCTGACCAATAGTCGGCACTGTGGTGCCATCGGTAAAATGGTTATTTGCGACAGTAAAAATACTGTCGCTAAAGTATTTATTTGAGACTGCAAAAATGTCGTCGCTAAAAATGGTTATTTGCGACGGCAAAAATACCGTCTCTAAAAATAGTATTTGTGACGATGAAGGATACCGTCGTTAAAGGCCATTTGTTTCAACTAATTAATAATGCCAATATCTTTGGCGACAGCTATGCTACCATCGCAAAAAACCTTTTTTGAGACAGTAGGATACCGTCTCAAAAAAAAAAAAAAACAAAAAAAAAACTGCAATACAATTATTAAAAATATGAAAATTGTATTAAATGAAAATAACTATAAAAAAAAAACCGATAATTATATAATAATATAAAAATTCCTGTATATAAAAAAAAATTCATCCATAATTAAAGTATTCTTCCATTCATAACAACACATCATCAAAATTATCTCACCACATAATGTTGCATAATACATACATAACGTTGTTCACAACAACACATCATCAAAATTATCTCACCACATAATGTTGCATAATACATACATAACGTTGTTCACAAATCTAAATAACGTAAATCAAAAATTAAAGTTTTCGTCATGATTCTTCCGTGGGTTACAAAAACAAAAGTTTGTCGCAATCTTCACACGCCTGCATTCCACAAGAAGCAAATTGCTACTCAGGAAATATCTGAAAATAAAAAATAAAAATAATTAATGAAAATATAAGTATGTGTTAATATCTTAATTACAAAAAACGTAAAAAATTAACTACTATATAATTACAAAGATAGTTAAGTAAATAATTTTGGCTAGACAGAAATCCGATCCTAACTCCCAAACCGGGAACCTGATTGGAGTCCTGTCTTCTCCCACAAGTCTCTCGTGCCTAGGCGGTCGTGTGTGCCTAGGCGGTCATGTGTGCCAAGTTTCGTGCCAATCCGACCCCGTTTGGTGATTTTGGGGCGTCAACATCTCGAATTCAAGTTTCTTAAGGAACTAGTTTGCCTAGACAGAAATCCGACCCTAACTCCCAAATCGGGAACCCAATTCGAGTCCCACAAGTCTCTCGTGCCTAGGCGGTCGTGTGTGCCAAGTTTCGTCCTAAATTGACCCCGTTTGGTGATTTTGGGGCATTAACACCTCGAATTCAAGTTTCTTCAGGAACTAGTTTGCCTAGACCGAAATACGGCTCTAACTCCCAAACCGGGAACCCTATTGGAGTCCCGTCTTCTCCCACAAGTCTCTCGTGCCTAGGTGATCGTGTATGCCAAGTTTCGTGCCAATCCGACCCCGTTTGGTGATTTTGGGACGTCAACACCTCGAATTTAAGTTTTTTAAGGAACTAGTTTGCCTAGACCGAAATACGGCTCCAACTCCCAAACCGGGAACCTCATTGGAGTCGCGTCTTCTCCCATAAGTCTCTTGTGCCTAGGCGACCGTGTCTGCAAAGTTTCATGCCAATCCGACCCCGTTTGGTGATTTTGGGGCGTTAACACCTCGAATTCAAGTTTCTTAAGAAACTAGTTTGCCTAGACCGAAATACGGCTCTAACTCCCAAACCGGGAACCCCATTCGAGTCCCATTTTCTCCCACAAGTCTCTCATGCCTAGGTGGTCGTGTGTTCCAAGTTTCATGCCAATCCGACCCCTTTTGGTGATTTTGGGGCGTCAACACCTCGAATTCAAGTTTCTTAAGGAACTAGTTTGCCTAGACCGAAATATGGCTCTAACTCCCAAACCGGGAACCCCATTGGAGTCCCATCTTCTCTCACAATTCTCTTGTGCCTAGGCGGTCGTGTGTACCAAGTTTCGTGCCAATCCGACCCTGTTTGGTGATTTTGGGGCGTCTACACCTCGAATTCAAGTTTTTTAAGGAACTAGTTTGCCTAGACCGAAATATGGCTCTAACTCCCAAACTGGGAACCCGATTGGAGTCCCGTCTTCTCCCACAAGTCTCTCATGCCTAGGCGGTTGTGTGTGCCATGTTTCGTGCTAAACCGACCCCTTTTGGTGATTTTGGGGCATTAACACGTCGAATTCAAGTTTCTTAAGGAACTAGTTTGCCTAGACCAAAATATGGCTCTAACTCCCAAACCGGGAACCCCATTGGAGTCGCGTCTTCTCCCATAAGTCTCTTGTGCCTAGGCGGTCGTGTGTGCCAAGTTTCATGCCAATCCGACCCCGTTTGGTGATTTTGGGGCGTTAACACCTCGAATTCAAGTTTCTTAAGGAACTACTTTGCCAAGACCGAAATACGGCTCTAACCCCCAAACCGAGAACCCCATTGGAGTCCCGTTTTCTCCCACAAGTCTCTCATACCTAGGCGGTCGTGTGTGCCAAGTTTCATGCCAATCCGACCCCTTTTGGCAATTTTGGGGCGTCAACACCTCGAATTCAAGTTTCTTAAGGAACTAGTTTGCCTAGACCGAAATATGGCTCTAACTCCCAAACCGAGAACCGATGAT